TCTGTGCAAATCATCATTGTCCTCCTGCTACTTACAAAGTGAGGATACAAGTGGGCAGTGTTTAAGTTTACTAGTACTCCTTTCAATCACTAGGTCCCTCCTAGAAGAGCACTACACAACAAAACACCTCCAATAACTCATCACAGACTTCAGAGCCGGAGATCTTTGTCATAGACCCTCTCGTCATCACTCGGAACAGTTCATACAAGGCCGGGACTGTTTTGTCTAATGTGTTCCTTGTCAGTCTCAGATAAACAGCACCCCTACCAATCAGCAGCACACAGTTTAACATCGTATTGTGGGAATACGGTAGCTGGAAGCAACAAACCTCCTGATGGGTTCTGCAATTTTGATTTAAACAAAACAAAAGTGAGTGACTGTAATTTCACAGATGCGAACAATTCATTATTGGGAAAAATATGTGGCAGTTCTAATGGGAACTGACTTAAGGGCTGTTTGTGGAAATGACTATTTGCAGCTGCCTCTCTCACCAGGTCAGTATAAGGCAGTAGACCATTAGATGGAAAAAATCAGACTGCATATTAATCTGATCATCTGTGATAGCATGGCAGGATCACTGGTCAAGATTTCTATTCAGTGCTCTTCTGTGCACTCGTGGTCTGCCACCTCTGAATTTTATCCTACGTGACACCAGAAGGGTTGCACACATTCAACTTGTTGCAGCGCAGTCTGTGAAAAGGTCAGAATTTACAAGCGCCCAACCTACATTCACTGCAGGTACTTGTAGCCCAGTACCTGCAGCGAACAGATGGGATGGAAAGATAAAAACGCTTTGCTAAGTTTTAGTCGGTCCCCAAATCAAGCTGGATGCCCGTTGCAAACTTCCCCACTTTTCCATGGAACAACTCATTCTCTCTTCTCAAACTGAACAGCATTATTAGGAAGTCAGTGTACTCTGGGGGTGTAGTGAGCACCTGAGTTTTCATAGTTTCATAGTTTGTAGGGTCGGAAGGGACCTTGACAGATCATCAAGTTTTGTTAGACCAGAATGGTTCCTGGTTCTGTGGTGTGGAACAGGGGTAAGTAGCTCATCTGGCTTGGCAGAACGAGATGCATGTGAGGAAAGGAAGAAAGGTGGTCGTCTGACAAAAAATTTCCCTGACTTTTCTGTGTACACATATGAGTCAGGTTTATGCATTTCAGATAGATTTGTTTTCCCATTAAGATTAACCTCAGCTGCCTGATTTGGGGCTTCAAAGAGAAGCTTCTCCACAAAACTGCTCAGGTGGCCCTTCCCCGAGGTCAGTAAGAGATATATTGCAGACAGTGGTGAGAATTTCATCAAGTGATTAGCTCTCATTTAACACTTCTTATTTGTAGACAGTGGCACACCAGCCACCGGATTTGCTGCTGTGCTGTCTCACTATACAGCTGTGTACCACTCTGCAATAAAACCAGACTTTTTAACACTTAGCACCAAGTGCCCTTCATGCCGCCTAGCTCATAAAGGGACTGAAAAAAGCTGAAGCCATAGGAAAGTTTCTCATCGACTACAGCAGGCTCTGGATAAAGTTCTAAATTACGCCAGTTTTTATTTAGCAATAGTGTATACTGAGCTAGACCAAGAAGACCCTGTAGATTTAGCTGCTGTGGCACTTAAAGTACATAAACTATTCCTACCCTCTAGAACTGGCCAGTGGAGGCCAGGCCAAGACCTATACCACCCATTAGTCCTCAAGGTACTGTTTAAGTGGGACATAAGTGGTGATTAAGCCCTTTGTGGACCCTTTTCCAGTTCAAATATTGTTACTCTAGGGCATGCAAATATATTTACAGATTCAGTAAAGCAAAATATTTCAGCATTTCAACCTCAGTAACCCCCCCCCCCCCCCCGACAGAATAAAATAGCAAGAGAAGGAAAAACCCTATTTTACAAGATTAGCTCCAATAATAATTTTATCATCTTCAATGTGACCAAGACATATTTCACTTGGAAAATACTGTTTTTGCAAAACATTCAACAAAATAAAAGGAAAAATGAAACCCAAACAAGCCACAAAGTGACTTACTTTTCACCAAGTCAAAAGAAGAAAAATCAGTGCCATCAACCCATCACTAGCTTAGTACCCTGTAGTAAACAGTTTCTGTAGCTCACACTTAGGCAGGGGACCACAAAGGGGTAAAAAGATGGGTGGAGGGGAAAACGGGACCACTCATTTCAATTTAGATTGAGTGACACAAGCAAACTGCCTTAAGGGGAGAGTCCTTAGAGAAAATGGTAAATCTTTAGATTACATGACATTGATTACACTTTTACTGCTGCCTAACTCTATTAGTCTTTGTCTAGTTACGGAATACAGTACTAAAATGGTGCCCTCTTCAATCAAGAACTGTCCTGGTGAAGGCCCAGGGGCCAAAATATAGGCTTTAGTGCTCTCTCTGTCACAGCTCATAAAGGCTACTTAATGGATTCCCTTGTAAGTACTATCCCTTATTATTTGTACCAGATTAAGGAAGCTGGGAGCATTAGGAGTCTTACTAACTTCTATTTTTAATGCAGTCTTTTAATGTGGTTTTTGGTATACATGCAAATGAGAAGCTAATAGGTTTAGCGTGATCCAGACACCCTGTCTGCCTACATCTGCACAGGAGAAGACCAGTGGTAACAGAATAAGTACAATAGTGCCAATAGTGTGAGCTGGCTACACTGGCCATTTTAGATACAGTATTGCCTCATCTACACTTCTACAAAAAATACCTTAATTCCCTTGCTAATTTATCTCCAAACTAGGAGGAAGAAAACCTGGTGGGACCTTGAATTTTTGCTTTTTGGAACAAGAGAGATTGCTCATACTAGAAGAGCCGAAGTGCACGATGTCGAAATGTTTAAACGCACAAAAACCCTCCAGATTTCAGATTTATTAGCTGAGAATAAAAATCTTCTTGGTACTGGAGATCAGTATTATCCTAACACACCCCTCTCTATGAATTTGGGTAAATGCGAGTATCCATTTTTACCAAGGCTAATGAAACCATTCAATGATTACATAATCTTGGAAGCATGCACAGGATATATGTAGATGCAGGATGATGAGATGTATTTTAGGGGACTCTGAGGAAGCTAGAGTGTCAGTGGTTATCTTAGCTATAACAATGTTAGCTAGCAACACTTTTATCACCTGAAATCAAAAGTGTTGTCTTTTATGAAGAGTGGAGTGGTCACAGGATATGCAGTTTCTCATACACAAAAACAAGCTTTTGCATGCAATGCTATTAATGATATTAGCACAACCCATAGCTGGTACATTGCTGTGCTTGTACATCAGAAATGCTCTGTGCCCCCCTTCTTTAAAACAATGTAGGCAATCGGGAAGTGAGTAAGGTAACTAAGATTGTATTTTGTTATCGTATGTGGTAACTTATGGCTGTTAATGGTAGATTGTTCCTTGTGTTCTACAACTGGCCATGTTCACTATTCAGTGAAGAAGCCTCCAGAGGAGCAAACTGATGGTATATTGACAGGGCAGTCGTGGCTGGAAATTGCTGCTGTGACGTGCTAAGATGTGCATGGATGTGTGCACACAGTAGCAGCTGCATGCTTTGTGTGGTATGTAGCTTTGGATTTGTAACACTGTAGGTGAGGATTTTTTTTTTTCTAACAGGCATCCAAGTTACGTAAACCATGTCCCTCAATGCAACCAGGAGACACATTTGTAGGCAATGTAATTTAAAACAAATGAAAATGCAGTGGGAACTTGGGTGTAAAAAAGGGGACTAGATGCCAAAAACATCCTTAGAAATAATTAGTCGTCAAACAAAAAAAAGTAATTACATAAAAAATAAAAAAACTAGTTGACCGATTTGTTTTTGAATCAGCTTCCCCCCTCCCTACCTCCCGCAACCATGCCCTTCTCAAAACTGTAAACAGCAATGCAATTTCAGGAAATGAGGGGTATTTTTTGAGATAGAGAAATATGTAAGCATGAAACTTAATGATCTTGTATTTTCCAAAAATAAAAGCCAATAGGCATTACAGATTGCAGAAGAGGAGAAAGGAGAGGATGGTAATCATGAAATGGCTTATAATTTTGAACAGTAACATTGGGGACATGTTAATCAAAGATGACTCGTGAAGCACGAGATGTGACCGGAGTATGAAATGTATGAAGCTTATCTGAACTAAACCTCAGGTCCAAATCTAAACTCCCAGATTGTAATTTTGGGCACATTTGTAATATGATGCATTCATGTTTCACTCAACTAGAACGCCTACCAACTCAGCAGCTATTTCACGCAATAGAATGCCATTTGAGACCAGGCAATTGAAGACCATTACAGGACAAAACTCCTCAAGTGAGAGAGATAGCTAACAGAATCTGATCTATGCCAGAACGGCCAAACTATGTTACAAAATGCATCTGACAATATTGTGTAGCAATGCAGGCCTCTGGCACTGTAGTCTTCCCCGTGTATAAAAATGCAGAGATCTATATTGCAAAGCAACTTAAAAAGAAAAGTAAATCCCCATCTGTATCTGTCAAGGAAAAATATGCTAGAATTTTTTCAGTAGCATCAGGGCCTCTGTATCATCCAGTACTGCCCTGGAAAAGGTTTTCCCTGGAACTCATCTGAACATATATTTTCTTCCAAGATAAAAACAAAATATTTCACAAAACTGCTCAAAATCCCACTAAGAATACCCTTTGCAAGGGGCTGACTAGTAAAGAAGCAAAATAAATCTGTACGTTTGATAACTTTTTGCCTTCCATAATCTGAATCCAGGGAGAAGTTAAACCTTCAGTAATTTAATCTCACAATAAATTTGCACGTTTGCTTCCCTGCCTTCCTCTTCACCCATTCCTCTTTATCTAGTCAAGAGCAGGATTCTGTACATAGATAGACTAGATGGATTTTTAGCACCTTCAAACACCAGCGCTGTTTTGCTATATGTAGCTACTTCCATTGAAGGAAAAGCAGAGTGCTTGGACCAAGTAGAAAACTACAGCAAGCAAAGCAAGAGGACAATAATAAAAGGATACCTGAGTCTGTGCGGTTAAAACACAAGGAGCAGCTGTCATTTTTATCCCCCGTGCTTCATCATAACATCTTTAACAAGGTTACTGAGGGTCTCTTTTGTCACTTTCCGGCACTTTAAGGGAGCTGTGGGAGTAGAAGAGTGAGAGAAAAAAAATAAGGAGGGGGGGGGCGCGTAAAAAGGGAGTTATGCTCACAGCTTTTCACAGTCGAAAACAGAACCCACTGCTGGTAATGTGAGAGCACTAGATCAGGCGCCAAATGGATAAGACTGTAGACAGTGGGGCCAAAGCACTGATACTTGCCAGCACCTGCAGATAGGAGACAAATAATTGGCACATGTTAAGAAAAAAAAAAAAAAGACAGAGAGAGAGAGAGTTGTTAGATGTTCGTATTTTCTAACAGTGTCTGGCAGGAGCTCCTGCAAGGAATTTAATCAGCAAGAGTTGTTTAAACTGGGCTTTGAACACAAGCCCTGTGCTGCTAGTAATGAACTTCATATCATCTGCAACTCCTGTTTGCTGACGACATTCAATTTGTTAATTCTGCAGCTGGTGATAGGGGTCAGATATGAAAGTGACGATTGTTTTTTGACGTTCCAACCCCTGCTCACATCTTTCTAATTAATCCTTTTAGGAGCCACCAGCAGATCAAGAGAAAAGTGTGTAGGGGTATAGTCAAGAAGAGTGAGAAAATAGGAAGAGAGATGGATTTTCTAATGCTCCCCTCCACTTCCTATCCTGCTGTCTGACATTTTGGGTGGCTGGAAGATGGAGGGCAGGGCTACTATAAAGCTGTAAAAAGTATTCACTGCTTTAGGCCATTACAGTAAACATAAACATCAGAAGAGAGATGCAAACAAAACAAAAGCTCAAACTTATTTTTATTTCTGACAAGTGTTTTGTATTAACTAAGCTCAAGAAGGAAAGATAAGTGGTAAATAATTTAGTAACAGCGTAGGGAAATTCTAGACTGCCCCTGCAGAATAAATTTAAGTTTGCCAAACCCCCTACCTACTTGTCTCAGTGGGGCATCAAGGTTACCAGTTCAGTGCAATATGTATATTAATTATACAGACTAGGTTGGGCAGATCAGGTAAGCACAGATCATAAAAGCGTGATCTCGGACACGCCGAGCTTTTGGAGCAAAGCAAACAGAAAAATACTGAAGGGACCGAGTATGATCTTGTCTCACTGACACTGTAGCGCATGGGTCCATGTGAGGTAATACAGGAAAGTCTCCTACTAGTTCAAGGGTGCACCAAAGAAACACGTGCAGCAAGAGGAGACTCCCTTCTACCTTTCTTTTTCTTTTTTTTCTTTTTTTTTTTTTTATGGTATCTATGAAGGTAACATATGGACCTGAGAGTGCTAGCACAACAGAAGAGGCCTCATATGGAAACATTAGCAGCTAGAGTTTGGAGTAATGAAAACAGCCAAGAAATAAGGTTTCATAGGACTAGGTCATCTCCCTTGTACCAAATCTGAATGAAGAGTCCTTGCAAGGCTGATGTTGAAGGTAATTTGCATTTGACTTCACTGGAAGTGAGGTTAGACCTGTAACACTTTGAAAATTCCCGTGTTAGATGCATGTCTTAAGTAGTGAGGGGAGAATCTCAAAAATTTTAGTATTCAGATTTGGTACATACAAGCACACAAAGGTTTGGTTGAGTTTCTAAAGCTCATTGAAATAGAACCAAAACTGTACAACCTGATAAACAGTGTCAGAATCAGAAACAGGCATCTTCTGTATATTATGCTGCCTTCTTACTGCCTGCTGGTTTGCGACACAGTCTAGAATTTATTTCAAACATCAGCAAATGACTGCAACTATTTCTCTACACTAGTTTCTCTTATCTTAGCAGTCCATTCCCCCTTTCATTTCCTCAAGGGATCATTTTTCAGGTAAAGTTCATATAATGCACAATCTCCGTTTTAATATACTCAGTTTTTTTCCGCACTGGAGTTAGATGCTCCTCTTGTCAATTCAGCATATATCTTTCTACATTCAGTACAGTCTTAAATGTGTTAGATTCCACTGGATGACAATCAAAAAAATAGACTGGTTGTCCTTTGATAAAGTGATTTATCAGACACTGCATCATTTTCTCTAGACAGGTCACAAGGACTGTTTTTGGGGAATATTCAAAACCATCACAGATAATTAACCAGGCCAAAGTTGCTCTTTTAGCGTAGACTTCAGATTTCTAAAGTGTTGTCACACGCTATGTCCAAAGTAAAAAGTTTAATGCTTGCTACATTCTTCTTTCTTCAGCCCTTTAGGAAACAAGGAAGCTAAGGCTCAAATTCTGATTTTGGTGTATCTGGAAAGATATTAGCTTCAAATCAGGCTATCCTGAATCTTCAGAAGTAGAAATGCAAGCAAGCTTTGTCCCTATGGTATCTCTTTAGTTTGTCCTAAAAGTATGCTGTGTGTTGTATCCAAGTAAATTCTGCAAAAAGATTCTATGACTCATTTAACCAGTCGGTGGAACAAAAATAAGTAAAAATCATACAAAAATGCATTCTGGGGAATGATGATCACCACCACCAAGTATGAACATCAAGTCTAGTAACTGGAGAATAAGTCCCCAGCTTTTTCTGAAAAAAAATCAGTTCTCTCTAAAAAGGCAGGTAGTCCAATACCTAAAAGATGACATGTGAAAAAAAAAAAATCACTAGTCCATTGAATATTTAGGTCATGATCCATATTGACATCAGCAGGACTGGTAGATGTGAATTCAAATGCCAGTCTGGTGACAGAGACTGACAGGACCATGTCTTTGCTTACTGCAAAATGCATTAACTTCTTAAATTTGTTTGCAAGGAAAAGCATTGTTTTAGTACTACTTTAAAACTAGGCAAGTTGCATTAGAAAAAGAAAACAAAATAGGAAGAGCTCTGAAGACCTGAGGTTAGAATAAAAAGCTCCATGACAACAAAAGATTTTCAAATTGAATTAAATAGTGAGTGATGAATAAGATGATGACAATTAAACAACAATAATGTAGACTCTGGAGGTACTATCTATGGGAGAAAGTATATTCCAATTACCATATTACAGACCTTTAATCTGTCAGCAGACGTTAAATAGAAGGAAATTTCTATTGGGGGATCTTGCAAGTGTGAGACAAGTTAAATCAAAGGAAAATGTTCTGCGTTCAAACAGAGGACAGAGAAATAAAAAGAGACTGAAGTCTCCAGTTAATCTAGTCTTTGTGGGCCATCTACCAAAAGGTAGATGCCTCAGAAACTGCAATTCTATATGTAGGTTTAAGCCTGAAGCCCTTAGTAGGAAGCTTGCTATGGACAGCTGTTGGTGAATAGGGAAAAGAAGGGCCCAGAGCTGCTGGAGAACTAAGGACAGGCAAAGGGTTTGTTGGTGATCAAGGGAAGACGGCTATACCGTCCAGGCCTTACTTGGATTCAGTTATGAGTTGGGGATATTGTAATCAAGACATAGGTCAGCATTGAATTAGGGATTATTAAGATAATATTTTTCTTATCTGAGAAGGAAACAAAAAGAATTGCAAAAAATGATCTATAGGGTCCCTTCCAACCGCTAACAACTATGCAACTAAGAAAATGGGAGGGGTAACTGCAACTGCAGTCCAGAGCAATTGGGTAAGAGAGTCCAGGGCAAGACAAGGGGAGAAAGAAATGGGGTTTCTATCAGGATTATCTTACATATGGCAAGGACTCTAGTAGGGTCCTGTATAACACCAACCCCCCTCTAAAGCTGAGGTGGCAGACTGAGGTCACAAACTACACTGAAATGTTATGGAGGCAGCAAGACAAGCCAAGACTTCTGAGCTGCAGTCATAGGGTAGTGGTTCTCAACCTTTTTAGACTTGAGGCACCCCTTGGAAAATGCCAGCTCTTAGTTTTCACTCATTTTCTGACTACAGAAAAATAAAAGAGCAATACTTCTACATTTCAAGGAAAGACCACAACAGGTCAGAATGTTTTTAACACTATGAATTCCTATTTGAAATCTCTGGGTTTAACCTGTGAATCAGATTTGCACACCTAACAGGGCTAACAATGCATGACATATTTGCTACAGCAAATGCTACAGCATCCTTGAAAGCATCTCAAGGCACCCCAGGATGCTGTGGCACCCTGGGTGAGAATCACTGCCATAGCAAGTGTAGGTCAGGGGATACTAGTAAAATCCAGTACAGTAGTACGAGGATTATAGACCCCTCAGGCAACTTAAGTGGTGGAGCATCACTTAAAAAAATGTTTTGGACTCAAGTAACCCCAGATCATGGACTGTGAATCAGGTATAAGAAAGGAGACTCAAATACACAGTCCCATTTCCTACTCACAATTGTGGCTAATGAGATTCTTTGCAAGGTTATTGAGAGCCAGGAGTCTCCCCCAATGTTGATGTAATACTTGATGGCTTTCCCAAGTTTCAAATCCTGCTCCCCTCATTAGAATTGTTTGTTTTAAAACAAGTTGGATTGTCCAACTTGTGGGGGGAGGGCAAACATCACAGGGGTTACACATGTCCCCCCTCTGTTGCCCACCATGCAGGCAGGCCAGCCCCCCAACACGAGCACAGCACATGTAAACCACCTACCCCACTGTTGCGTTCTGGGTGGCCAAAGCAGGCAGCCCATGCCCCTGCCCCAGCACATGGGCAGCCCAGCTCCCCCATGCATGACACAGGGCAGGGGGTCTCTCACTACTTGAGAGACCACTACACCTGGTCTCTCAAACTACTTTGGCACATGCATTGCAGCTCCCCTCCCTGCAGCCCTTCCAGTATACCATGCCATGCTGCCCCCAGGAGCAGAGGCAGGGAGCAAAAACCAGTGGAGGGAAGGGAAGCCTGGAAATCCCTGTCATTGCACTAGCAGGAGCAATGGGGCAGTGGCAGCCAGGTAGCAGACCATGGGCCACATGCTAACCCCTCACGGGCTGCTAGTTGAACAGCCCTGTTCTAAGCCATTTCTTGCAACTGGGGAAGTGATGTTCATCAAGGGCACCCAGATGATATAGTGTAGTTCCCGGGTTTCTAGGTGGAAGAGTGACCCAGATGGCCTGTGGGCTTCTCACAGGTCTGGAAATCTGCAAGGATGGCAGTGATGGCAGCATTAAGTGCCATGGCTCTGTCAGGAGTTTAGGTTGTAGCTGTGTTGGTCTAAGGATATAGGCAGACAAGGTTCC